GCTGTTTAAAAATGTTGTTTATAGTATTTAATATATAAAACCGAAATATAAATATATTTTTTTCAAATCATAATAATGACATTAGGAAATTAGTATGAAAAATTTCGAGTTCAGTATTATAAATAAAATTTAAGTGCGATGTTAATAATATTGTAATGATAATATTGAACAATTTTTTTAAAAAAAAATTCAAAAAATTGTATCTTTACGTTTATTTAAATAATATTTTTTTTATATCAAGTTATTTTAAAAATCAATTTTTTAAAAATTTTTGTTATTTATTGTGAAAATAAATTTCGATACAATAAAGTAAAACCTAATATTATAAAAACAAAATATATTTTTTTAAATTCAATAAAAATAATAATAGGCATTTAAATATGAAAATTAATTTGTTGTTCTTATTTTTTTATTTTACCAGAACCCTTTTTAAAGAAAGTTGCATAAATAATTTTTGTTTTATGAAAATTTAGAACTTCATTGTTACTTGCATTTTTTTTTAAAAAAAAAATACAAACGAAAATAAACAAATCAAAATTTTAAAAATCGTCTTGATATGAACTTTATAGCGTGATATGAATTTTACAAACGATTTTTAAGCTAAAATTTTAAAATCAGATGTTTTTACAATGTTCTACATGATAACAGTATGTAATTAACTTGATTGTAACAACAAAAACAAATAAATCTTAAATGAGTCCAGTAGTTTACTTTTTTGATTGTAGGTTTTATTATTTAAAAAAGTTTGGACCGGACCGTTCCTAGGATCAACACTAAGTGATTTTTATCTCCAATAAGATACCTTGGTTAAAGAATCCTTATAAACATATTTAGTGATAATTTCCTTGGTATCGGTTGGGACCAATTAGGACCGAGTAACATCCCTACTTGATTGCCTTTTTCTTTACAATTTCGTTTTATACATTACACTAGAATCCATTATTTGCATTATTTGGTAAACAATTTATCTTGTACTAAAAAATTGGTGCACAGAAAAATAGTAACTAGTAACATACACACTCGATACATGGCTTTAATATTTCTCGCTCGCTCTTTATTTATAATTTCCTATGGAAAGCCTTTTAGATATCGAGTATCAAGAATGGCTTGATAATGCCCTAATAAATAATGAGATTAGAAGATATGATTTTGGTGATTTTGGTGATTTTCAAGAAATTGGAAGTGGAGCATATGGCACGGTCTATAGTGCTAAATTAATACCGGAAAATAGAATCGTTGCTCTAAAGTCGATTACCGTCTGTCCTAGATTTACATTTGAATTATTAGTTAATGAGGTAAATTGTTTGCCTTCTTGTAATATAAAATCACGTTGTTTATCAATTATTTACTGTACTAATATTTTCGCATCAACTCTTAGCTTAAACATTGTTTAAAAACTAGATCGCATGAAAATATCATCGATTTTTATGGAATAGCACAGAAAGGTAATAGCGAATATAATAGCTATATCATAAATAATATATTTAAACCCATTATATTTGTTATAGATAAAAGAGAAAAGACTTATGCATTCGTAATGGAATTTGCAAATGGTGGAACACTCGATCGTTATCTGGAATTGAATTTTAGAAAGCTCGAGTGGACCGATAAATTACGTCTCGCACAACAAATTGCCAATGCAATAATGCATTTGCATTCGCATGACATTATTCACAGAGATCTGGTACACCAA